AAGCCGCCCCGGAGACACTTAGGGGCTGCAATTAAATGGAGTTAGCAACTGCCTCGAAATTGAAGGCACGCTCATGTTGAAGAGCGGCGTGTGCTCTTGGTTGGCTCTACTTAGTCAACACAGATCGGCAAGCAGAGGGTAGACTCCGTGGGAGATTAATTTTGTCTTGTTCTGGAAATGAAAGTCCAAGTGCACCTAGCAACCGAAACAGCCAGCACCAACACATGGATTTGCTTAGCTTGGCTTTGGTGGTGGCGTCATTGGTGGCTCCCAAAACCCAACTGTGAAAAGCTGACCCTTGGCAAGTATGTTGCAGTTTGTTCTCAGCATTTATTTTTTCTTTTCTGCACCTGTTTCTTTGTATTTTTAGTCTCTTAAACCTGCTGAGTTATCTATTTAAAATGGAAAAGTCCCACATTGACACTAAAGTCTCTGTTGAATTATGTATCATTTCCTGACTTGTGTGTACTGAGTCATTAATTTATGTGCCTTTACCAGCTGTCTCTTGCCACACTTGAACTCCATGCCTCAAGACAGCAGCCATGTATTTGCTCATGACTTGCAAGCTGGGAAGGGCTCAGTTGGGTGGCTCTTCATCTCTGCTCACCTGAGACTTCCCTGCCTAGGCTGATCTGAGCTGGAGGCTGGCTGGTACAAGATGGCCTCAACCTTCAATGTCTGATAGTGAGTGAACCGTGTCAGCCCAGGAAAGTGGGGTTTCTCCTGTGAATCTCTCTCTCTCTCTCTTTCTCTCTTCCTCGATGTGTTTCTTTCTGTGTGTCTATGTAGTGTGTGATATGTTTGAATGTATTCCTGTTTCATAACATACGCAAGGACTTCATTGGTGACATCTCCTGGCCCTGTTCATATGTCTTAATGTTGCACCTCCCCCAGTAAGGCCTGCAGCTGCCCTCACCACACTGCCGGAAATACAGTGCACAGGCCTAAACATCTGTGGTATATAATTCACTTGTAGGAATGACGATTTTCTAAGGAGGAGGCTGACCCTTGGCGGCCAAACACAGGGCAATGTTTTGGAACAGAGTCCGAAACACTTTCATGAACGTGCTGAGAATAAGTGAGTGTTGAGTGCTCAGCCTTCAGGGGGACATCTCTATCAACCTCCCTCCCCAAGGCTCTAGGAACATCATGGAAAAAGTGGGTAAGAGCCAGAGATGGTGGGAGTGCTCTGATATTCCATCTTCAGGATACGACGTGGTTGCAGTGGGAACTCACTGCAGTTACAATGACCAGCACAAGAACAGCCCGACAAGATCTGTCAAGAGCCAGCAGGCAGCACTGTTGTCCTCACCAGGAAAGGGGAGAGAATATGATGGGGAGAAGGGTGCTAGGAGTTATCCACGGATAATGAGGGAGAGTCTAGGCATACATGGGGCCCATGTACACATGGATGAGATTGCCAAACAATAAATAAAAGAGTAAAAGGAAAAAGGCCAGCTGGAAAGAGTCCATTGCTGGCAAGGGCTTGTAGACTCACAGTCACAGGAAAACGAGCTTCAGATGTTCTCATTCCATGGGCAAGACACCAGAAACCAGCCTTTGAATGGCTCCATCAGAAATCCACAGTGGAGAGGAAGGGGCCTCCTGCCCAAGATGGGGTGACTACCATTGTTCTCAGCCTGGCAGGTTGGCAGTTGTATTCTTCTATCACAAAAAAAAAAAAAAAAAAAAAAAAAAAAAGATTGGCTAACTCGAGACTCTCAGCCACCAACCTGCAATTCTTTCATTTTTGTCTGGAGGGCTACTGCTGGGTCATCTGGCTCTAGGAGTGACAGGGTGATTATTGCTTATTTTGACACTCCAAATATTATGACAGGAGGAGATAGGGAAGTATTGTGTAGAGGGCCCAACGTGTGTCTATCATGTAATTATCCTTTTCCCGCCACCCAGAAACATACATGGTGTAAGACAAGCATGGCAGGAGGCTGTCAGGCTGATGGGGAAGGGCAAATTCTTCTCAGAGGCCAGGACACATGAGCTAGGGCAGGACTGAAGCCAAGGTATCTCCACAGACAGTGGGAACATAGGCACAGATGCACCTTTTGGCCTTGGAGTGTGTCTATGGCCACTGGGCTCAGTTCATGAAGGAATATAAAACCAGAAACTGAGGCAGGCTGGTGATGGGTAAATAGTTAGGAAAACTGCCAAGGAAAGTTAAGCAGGAGGCCAGCCACTCTCCTCTACAGACAGGACTACAGCTCTGGTCAGCTGAATCCAAACAAAGCCTAGGGCAAGCAAGCGCATGATTCAACAGATTGCACACTGGTGGGCGAGGATCTGAGCAGATGTGTAAGATGAATTGCCTCATCACAGAACTCAAACATATATCCATAGGGCTTCACACATAAAAGTGTGTGTGTGTGTGTGTGTGTGTGTGTGTGTGTGTGTGTGTGTGTGTCTATCTGTCTGTCTAAGGTCATTGTATTAGTCACTTTTCTCATTGTCATGAGTATCTGACCAGAAGCAACTGAAAGGGCTGGGGTTTACCTTGGCTCGTGGTTCCCCACTGTGATGGACTCATATATCAAGTTTCATCACCAACAGTCCTCTTCCTCCTACAAGGCTCCACCTCCCAAAACAGTGCCATCAGCTGTGAGCCCATGAGCCAGTAAGCGACATTTCACAGTAAAACCACAACAGTTCTGTTCTGTTGTGTTGCATGGAGTAGAATCAGAAACGGAATTTACTAGGAAGAAAAGCCAGTACCTACCCACCTCTGGGTGAAGACGAAGGCTGGGGTTTAAACCAGTCTTACTTCCCGGCAATTTTTTAAAGTGAAGGCATTTTTTGTGTACCTGTGGGGCCATCTCAGGGGTAAACCTGCCTCTGTCAGCTGATGAGCTCTTTGAGAACAAAAGAAGATGAGCTTTCCGGAGCCCAGTGCTTCACCCTGAGTCTCTCCCGCCTCCTCTGATCATCCAAAAGCTTATGTTGAGTCTTGGGCCTTGATGACTTCGTTTTTCTACTTTCTTTTTCTCCTTCAGCTATGACTTCAATTAAATGCAGATTAGTGAACAGTTTCAATCAATTAGGCATTCAGCAGACACTGGCCAAGGGAGACACATCGTGTCAAGTGTACTTAACCTGAGATTTTGGTGTAGAATTGATGAGGGCAAGGTTCCTTCTCTGCCTTCAGCCACAGGAGTTCACATGTTCCCAGATGAGACCTTGGGCTTGAAATCCGCCCGTGACTTCTGCAGAGAGTCTTGGGCGGCCCTCTCTCCCTAGGTTAGGAAGGAACCAGGTCAATGGGCTGAGAGTAAACGCACAGAACCACTGGGTAGGAAACTGATTTCATTCACAGTGTGGCTTAGAGAGTAATACCACGCATAATTTACACTGTCTTCCAACATCTGGGGCCTGGGTCAGGGTTTGCTTCTACCAAGAATGTTCCCTACTTGTATTGGACCCTATATTTTCTCCACAACATTTCAAAGGCAAAGAAACAAGATGTGTCGTGGACGCCCCTTGCAGCACATAGCTAATGGCAATGAACACCTCCATCCAACCTTTAGGGTGACTAAATTTCCTTGTTAACCTGACCACTCAGACCTAATGGTTAAAAATGTGATTCTAATTAATTGGGGGGAAGGAAATCAGGGTTGTAGCTTTGATGATAGGAAGAGCACATAAGTTAAAAGAAAGGAATTCTGGGTGACTCAGTAAACTCAATGTTTCCTTTAAGCTTCTAGGTGTGTGTGTGTGTGTGTGTTTGTGTGTGTGTGTGTGTATACTTTCTCTCTGGAAACTATAGCTCTCCTGCCAGTTACGTCACCTCCGTTAAGAGTTCTAGCTAGGCACATCACCCTGAGCCAAACTCAGTGCTCACTAAATCAGGACTAGTGGCCATATTGTCTGATTGGATTCTAGACTGTGCTGCTATCAGCGTTCACAATTACACCATTTTTAAAGTTAAATTTGAGCTGCAGAGTCATTCCATCATCTGTGAGGCTAACCAGAACATGAAAGATTAGGGGTTCCCTCATGACCACCCCCCCCACAATCCACCCCCCACCCCGTCTGCAGATTTAACCAGCCTGACCAGCGGGGCGGGGGGTGGGGGGACTCATTTGTTGAAAGCCTTCCATGCTGCTGCACAGGCACAAATAGTACCTGCACCGTCATGTTGTGTTTTACTCAGTGAAGCTCAGTTATTCTTGTAATTCAATATCCTGGTTTCCCCTCCATGTTGCTTGTGTGTGAGCAAGACCTTTACAAAAGCTGACAAACTACCAACCCCAGCCATTACCAAGCAGCCTGTGTTTCTTCATACAAGTAGGTCCTGTGTGTCTCTTCCTTCTCTCGACAAGGTCACACCATGTTACCCTCATCTCTGCCTCTGAAGTGCCTGAGAGGGGATGGCCACCACCCTAGCAGGAGCTCATTTAAGTCACCTCATGGTCTCCTTTCCTGGAGTAAATTTTCCCTTGAAGGTCCTTACTCCTCCATCTTGCTCAGACCTCCTCACCCCATGAGTGTCTGCATCAGGAACCTTTTCTGAGCCTGCGCTAGAGGAAGCTGCCCTTTGCCCCCTCTGTGCCCTGTTAATGCTGTCTGCCTCTTTACGTCTGTCTCTCTGCGCTTCGGGATGCCCTGATATTGACCCCCTTTGTTCTTCTATTTCCCCGGCACCTGTGCCAGGCACAGGCAGGCATCCCATAAGAGTTTTTTAAATGAAAGCTGTTGTCACAGAGCCACCTCCGAAATGGAATTGAAGCCCGTAAAAATAAATCGCACATCAGCAGAAGGAAAAATTAAGCTGTCACTCCGCCGAGCAACGGAGCTTTCTTTTCTGTATTTTGGGTCCTTTAATGTGATGGAGCAGGCAGGGAAAGCAGAGCTTGGGAAATGATTTGTCTTTTTAATTCAGAGAGTGATTGGCAGGCTATTCCCTTGCCATTGCCCTTGGGGGAGAGGCCCTGACCATCCTGCCCTTTTGATAACCATCTCCCCACTTTGGTCCTGCTCCCCCCCCCCAGGGACCACGGTGATGCGGATGACAGCGTTTGATGCAGATGACCCGGCCACTGACAATGCCCTCCTGCGGTACAATATCCGTCAGCAGACACCTGACAAGCCGTCTCCCAACATGTTCTACATCGATCCTGAGAAAGGAGACATTGTCACCGTGGTGTCACCTGTGCTGCTGGACCGGGAGGTGAGCTGAAAGGATTACGTTTTCTCCTTCACGAGAACGGAGCGCAGCTCCCCTAGAAGGAAACACGTGGGAGTCAAGGGCCCTCGAGACTGCAAAGGCAGAAACAAGATGTTTACACACGGCTAGGTGGCCAAGTCTTCAAGGGCGGATGAACTGGGATGTGACCCTGGCAAGCCCTCTGTGGGCCTGGGAGGCCCTGGGTATTTCTAGTCTCCACCAACTCCTCAGACTCATGAGTTCCAGACCCTGTAGAAGGGAAGGAAGGGTCACATGACAGAGGGGAAAAGAGGGGAACATAGCTCTCCCCAAGCTTACCCAGGCTGTTCCTTGTACAGCCAGGCAGCACTCTTGTCCCCTATCTCTCCCAGCCATCTTTGCCTTTCCCCAATAGGCTCTTTGTGAAATCACCCATCCTTCAGGTCACATGTAAGGCAGAGATGCCCTGAGCTGCAACTGGACCCCATGTTGGCTTTGTGCTTGCTTTGTGTTTTTAAAGTTTTAGAATTAGTGGCCCTAACAAAACATTTCGATTTAATATTTCTTCATTTTTTTTTAAATTCCTATTTTAAGCTCTTCTAAAAAATGTGAAATTCGGGAAGCCTTTGGTCTAATTCCCATTCACACCACTAGTCTCCTGAGATGTGGTGATCAGATAAAGCCAGTGTCAGCTGACCCATTTGAACTGAGCCTGTGCCTAGTCCTTGCTTATATTTTAGTTTAAATGCGCTCCCCCCCCCCCCCGCACCATGTCCTTTTCTGAGTTCCAGGTCTAGCCGGTAGCTCACAGAAGCTGGCTGCAGACTCCCATCCATCCCTCACCCTCCCTCTACCTGAGGTTTGATCCTGTAATGCAGCCCTTGTTTCAGACACCAGGATCTAGGCTTGGCCCTGGATGGCATCATGTGACTGCCAGGCTCCATGTTATCTATCTTTCCTTCCCAACAAAGCCATGCAGGGCTTAGGATGTCTTCCCACTTCCATTTTCTCTACTTTTCCTTGTGTCTCGTAAGAGTCTGGATTAGATCAGCCCTCCCTAAACCTCTACCCCATCCCCTCAGTCTAGTTCATTCCGCGGTCTCACACACCCGCCATCCCGAGCCAGGGTACCTCTTTCCCTGCCTCATTAAAGCATCGCTCTTCTGCTGGCTGTACCATTCAATAAGAGATCACTGGTTAAAATTAGATTTATCTTATGGTTGTCTAAATCTTATATTAATTGCACTGAAGCTGTCAAAAGCGGTTTCCAGGTCATACTCACTCCTACTGGGGCTTAGTGGTCACACGTGGCTGATGGAAGCCACGTGCAGCGACAGCCTGGAATATCACCTCATTCCAGAGAGTTCTGTTGGCCTAGAAATTAAAGACTGTGGTCTGTGGCTCTTTGCGTCTTCGCTGCCAGGTGCAGACTGAGTGCTGTGACAGTCCCAATCATGTTTATCGACGGAGGAAGAAAGGTGAGTTCCGTTGAACCGGTCCCAAGATTTACTCTTGCAGGCTGAAAAACAGCAAATTACTGGAAGGGTGAGAAAAAGAGAAACCTGTGTCAAATTGTGGTTGCCACTTAAAAAAACAAAAGTGTGTAATTATTTCTGGCTTAAAAACAAATAGGAAAGTAGAAAATCTTGAGTCCTTTCCTTGACTTCATTTCCCCTTCTCTTCCAAACCCTTCCTGTTTTCTGTGACTACTGTATTGTATATGTATGTGTACATGTACAAGCATGTGCGTAGGTAGGTGTACACACATATGCGTGGACAGTGTGAGGCGGTCAGAGGTCAACATCAGATGTCGGTGTCTTCCTCTACTACTTGCTTTCGTTAGAGATGGGGTCTCTCTCAGAGCCAGAGCTTGCCTCACCGTTTGAGCCAGGCCTGACTGGCCAGTGAGGCCCGCTATCCTCCTGTCCCTGCTTTCCCAGCCCTGGGATTATAGACAAGTACCAAAACGCATCTGGCTTTTGCATGGTTGTAGGGATTGGAACTCAGGGCCTAAGCTTATACAGCACGCACGAGCTTTTCCTGCTGAACCTTCACCCAGGCTGTTATTCCCTTTTTCCTTGAAGATGCTTTATGTCTTCTCTTACCATTGTGGTCCTTACTGTTCATCCATCAGTCCTGTATTCACATACACATCACACATCACACACACACACACACACACACACACACACACATACACACACTCTCTCACACACATCATACGTCACACACACAGCACTCCAAAGGTCCTTAGCATTTCTTCTCAGGCAGGCAGCAGCACCAAATACTGTGATTCTGCCAGCTCAGCAGCAAATGCTTTTAAAGCAAAAATGCTTTAAAACAAAGCATCCTGGGAAAGGACTTATAGAGCAGAGGACCATATCCAACATTCCTAAAGTTGATGTGGGGGACACACAGAGGATCCAAAGCCCTGACCCCCTTCTGGCCCTTATCCAGTGGCAACAAGTATGTCGTTACAGAGCTGAATTACGTATTCCAAACCATAATACATAAACAGCCCCAAAAAGGAGAAATTCAATTTCACTGAAATTGGAAAATCAATGACAATGAATGACAAGTGTCACTTCTGTGGGGGGGGCTTCCAGAGTTCAGTGCTGGGCCAGGCAATCTGTAGGAAGGAAATGTCTGCCACTTGGGGCGTTGTGCTCAGCTGTTTAGTCTGGGAAGCTCCAGCCCTGTGTCTTTAAAGGGACAGGAACTGGCCCTGGTGTTCAGATTCACTGGCATGCAGTATCTTAATCTCACGGGGCTCGGCTACTCTCCCAAGATTCACAAGGGGGTGTCAGGTCCCTTCAGCCAGAGTGTAGACTTTCATGTCAGTCTTATTTCCAGAGAGCTGCTGAGAAGCCTTGCTAGTCTGCCCATGTTTGCCTGACTTCAACATAGCGCTTGCTTCGGTGCCTGAGAGGGCAGCTCAGTGGGCGAAGCGCTTACCTGGAAAGCATGAGGTCCAGGGTTCGATCCCTAGAACACACATTTGAAAAAAAAAAAAGCAGCATAGGGTAGTATATATTTGTAACACCAGCCCTGGGGAGACAGAGACAGGAGGATTCCTGGGCCTTGTCGGCAAATCTAGCCTAGTTGGTGAACTTCAGGCCACTGACAGAGTTTGTCTCATAGGAATTACATGTGGTTTCCAAAGTTGTCCTGCAGCCTTCACAGATATACACACACGAGGGTGTACATACATACCCACACTCGTTCTTTTTTTCTTTTTTTTTTTAATAAAGGAGGTTCTGAAGAGATGCCTCAGCAGTTAAAAGAACTGGCTGCTCTTGTAAAAGACGTGGGTTTAATTCCCAGCACCTACCCGGCGGCTCACAACCACTAGGAACATCAGTTCCAGCATTTCTACCAGAGTCTTCCGACCTCCTCAGGCACCAGACACACAGGGTGCCACAGACATACTTACAAGCAAAATATCCGTAAACATAAAATAATTTTTAAAATATTCTAAAATAGGAAAAGAAATGTTTTCATGTGAGACCTATGAACCTCGGTGTAAACTGAGCTTGACTTCTCTCACGGCATCTAAGTGTGCACACTCGTATGCATGTGTCCACGTGTGTGTGTCCATGTGTATTTCTGTGTGTTGGCAATGACAAGTGTAGGCAAATCAGGACTCCTCTGAGGGCAATAGCTCTCCCATTGCTCCCATCTCTAGCTTGTCTGGGGCGGGACTCCAAACCTCTGGTTCCTCTGAGCTCTGTTGTTAGCAATGTCATGTTGATTTTCCATGTGGTCTGTTTCCTCCCTAGGAGGACCCAGCAGGAAGCATTTGCTCTGGGGAGAGACAGATGATATGGCATCTGGGAGAAGGTGACACATACTAAGCAAGGGCTTTGAACTGCCTGTTTGTCCTCCCTGTTCTCACGGTTGACTTTCTCACTGAGCAGGTCATGAGGACAGGGAGGTACAGCAGTGAGGAGGTGGCCTTTAATCCACTGCATGTGGCCTGTCACCCTTTCTTCTCTACTTCCTCCTCACTCCCTGGGGCACCTCAACAAGTCTAAATGAAGCGGGTGACCATGTCTTCCTGCTCTGAGGAAGAAGAGGATTCTGTCTGCCTGTTCCCTGACATCTCCAGCTCTTCATACAAAAGAGGAGCCTCAGGAGCCTAGCCCATGACAGAAACAATGATGGGGAGGGCAGAGCTGTTACAATTGTGAGGTCATTGATTACTAGTCCATATTGGAAACTCAATAGACCACAGATTGTCCTTGAGTATCTGATGCAGTTTCCATTACAAGCTTGATCATATACTTTCTCTGATATTCTACCAAAATGATTCTTTCTAAAACAAGGACCTTTAGATCTCTGACCCATCTACATATCTTCATTGTATAATAGAGTCAGGATTTGTTCAGTGGAAGGATTGATGGGTGGTTGGGTGGATGGATGGATAGATGAGTATGTATGTATGTATATATGTATGAAGGTAGGTAGCGATGGATATATAGATGATAATATATGGATGGATGGTTGGAGGGATGGATAGATAGATGGATGGATTGATGGATGAGTAGGTACACTTATGTAGGTAAGTAGTGATAGATAGATGGATGGATGAATGGATGGAGAGTTGGTGACTGGGTAAGTGGACAATAGACATATAAATGACCTGTATTCCTTAAGTTTTTATTACCTCAGAACATACTACCAGGTCCTCATTCTTGCATGGTTATGTAAACAGGCAAAATTATTTTACTTAAGTTGTCAGCTTAGTCCTACCTCTGTGCCATCATCCCACAATCTAATTAATCTTGCCTGGTACCAAGAGCTGAAACAAGTCCATTGATCCGCATAGTGAATGGCAGGCCTATGGGGATCTATGCCTCCAGCTCAAATATGCAGGGAAATGTTTGTAGGAAAGAAGGACCATATATCCTACTCAATGAAATTGAGTTCATCTGGGGCACTGCTTTCTTCTTTTCTATGGCCATACTCAGCCGCTCCATTCAAACGGCTCCATCTGTGTTTTTAAACTATGTCTGGCTACACCA